GTAAATTCTTTGGCCTATTTTTTAATTGAATTGTTTTCTTGTTGAGTTTTAGGAGTTCTTTGTATATATTAGATAACAGTATTTTATCATGTATGTGTTTTGCAAAATATGTTCTCCTAGTTGGCTTATCTTCTCATTCTCTTCCCTTTTTATTCTGAACTTTGTAACCCTGTAGAAAAGATGGTTTGCCAAAATATCACAGTGAACACTTACATACCTATCACCTAGATTCACATATTTTTAACATTTTACCACATTTACTTAATTTTTCTGTATTTTGTTTTGTTATTAAACCATTTGGTAATTATTTCCAGACTTTGTGAACCTTAACCCCTAAATATTTCGGCATATGTCTCCTTGTTTTTATGAGAGTATCCTCTTATGTAACCATAATAGTGTTACCACACTCAGGAGTGTAGCATTGATACATTAGTATTGTGTGATACACAGTCCATGTTCAGATTTCTGCATTCATCCCAGCAGTGACCTTTTTAGCTGTCTTTCAGTTTTTGATTTGAGGTTTTTTCCTTTTCCAGCCAAAGATCAATCATACTGCATTTATTTTCATGTCTCTTTAATTACCTTTAATCTGGAACCATTTCCCAGGCTGTTTTTCATGGCCTTGGTATTTTGAAGACTCATCAGTTAAATAGGATGTTCAGTTTGTTTCCCCATGATCAGCAGCTGTATCAGGTTGTTTCCTCATCATTCAATCGAGGTTGACCATTTTTGACGAGAACACTATGTAGGTGATGCTGTGTTCTCGGCATTTCACCTCAGGTATGTGGTATTTGTCTCATCGTTGATTTTGTTCAATTTGATCACGTAGTTATGAGAGTATCTGTCAGCTTTCCCTGTAGTAAAGGTATTCCTTTTCCTTGTTTCCCTTTATATTTAATAAGTGATCTGTGGGATTATACCAGTAAACTGTGGAATATTCTGCTTCCTAATGGTCTTTCATCCTATAGTTTTGGCATCTGCTGATTCTTGTCCGAATCAATTATTACAGTAATGATTATAAAACAGTAATTTTCTCTGTTTATCATTCTTTCTACATATATTAGCATTTTTTATGAAAAAGAGTTTCCTATTCTCCCTGTTCCCTTTATTTTTAACTTTTTAAAATATCAGTATAAATTTGTGGATTCTTTTTTACTCAAAGTTACAGTCCATTTCTGTCACTCTTGAACGTTCATACTGTTCCAGAACTGACCGTGGGAGCACCTTCAAGCTGCTTCCTTTGTCCTTTTGACACTTCCCTGTCATTCTTTGAGCATTTTCATGCTGTCTTGTACAATGAGATGTTCCAGCCTCACCTTGTGCTTTCCTTGCTCCTGCCTTGAAATCAGCCATTTTTCTAAGGAGCCTTGATTTCTGTTAGTAGGGAATAGTATTTAAAAAGCAAAATCTGGGCCCTGAGTATGTTCATTAATAGTAAGGATTTCATTGCTTCTAGGTCCTTTAAGTGAATAGAGCTAAGAAGCTTTTTCCTTAGATTTCTTCTCTAAACTTCAAACTGATTCTTTTATTTTTAATCTAACACCATGGGATTCTTATTCTTTTATTCTGTACTGTATCTCCCTTTTGTGGTGA